CCGGTCCTTGGTCCCGCAGTATCAGAGTATGATAGCATCTCAAAGTTTCGACGCAATATTTACCTATCACTCCCGTTCATTAGAAGCCGACAATGGAGGGTCAATCCAATCCACTACACAAAATATCCCACTCCATCAGACCTAGCGGGAGGTGGAACCCGAATAAAGTTTCCGAGGTTTGGCGGGTAGAGAGCCTCTTCCTCCCTAACTGAGTCGTGGCCCCCGAGGTGAATAGCCCTTCCCACCGGATATGCGTGAAGATCTGTTCTATCGGAGGGATAGGGGAGAACGTTCACCCCGTGGTTAAAGATGGGCTTTGGCCCCTGAACAACAGGTAGTTCTCACGGTAAGAGCCCTCGGGAATAGATAGATCACGAGGAAAACATAAGCGAAAGATTAATTCGACCTACAACGTTAGGGGAGGATATTTAACCTCCAGAATGTGAGGTGTGTCTTGCGGAACCGTCGAGCTTCGTCAAGCCGTTCACGCAGGGCGCTGAAGCCGAAGAACACCGCGACGCGGCGGCGAGGACGACATGGTCATCGGCGAAGACCACGGGATCTCCTTTCCTTAAACGTAAGCGTATTTTCGGGGATACCTGGCTTCTAGAGAAGAAGGCTAAAACGTTCTGGTAGCTCCTATGGTTTGCGTCCAACGACCGCGTGCTGATTCTGCTTTCGATCGCGGCCGTCATTTCACTAGATGTGGAGCAGCATAGCTGTTGCATAAGGCTAAGTCCAATCAGCAGAAGCTAGAACCGCACACTTTGAGGACGCATTTCGTTGTACTGTTGGTACGGCCGACAAGTGGTTAATGATGCAAAAGCCATTGAGACCCCGTATCCATTTAGAGGGACGCGGAAGGCTGCCGACGAGATATGTGCCGTTGCACGATGTCGGGAATTTTCAATGGTCTTCACCGAGGCGGCATGAGGGTTGGAGGAGGTCCTGGCATTGGAGAACGGGGTTGGTTGCCTAATTTCGTCCAGCTTTCGGTGCCATGGCCCCTTTTCCAAGACGGTAAAATGATCACTATTTCCCACTGAAAAAAAGAGGGCCCTCTCACCCCTCGCTCTCCACCGATGGGAAATCTCTCCCAACAGTTGATAAAGTACATATTTGGCGTCTGGACCACAAAGTGGTGGGAACCTCCACCTCCAGAATGAGTTTCACAGTGCTAGTGGTAGAATCGCACTCAGTGCGCCTAGCATACGGCAGCCGGCACCGGAAGATCTCAAATTCCCCGCCTCCCTCACGTGCCATTCGTTTTTCGACAATCTCTAGCTGCTTCTTCTCAGTAGCCCAGCCAACGACCTTCGCAAGCGCTTCTCTCCGTACTTCCCGCTGCAAAGCACTTGGCAATTGAGAGCCCTGAACTTGTCCCTCAAAACGATCCTCCAACGGCATCACGTCGATAGATAACAAAGATGGAAGGAGGCGGCTGAGCTGGCGAATCGTGGTCAGTAAGGCATGGGTAACTGAATATGGAATGACCTGTGTGGGCCAAGGCGGTAGGACGATAGCGTATCGGACCAGCTGGCTGAAGCGGCCAGTGTGGTAGACGAAGTGGCGAACTTGTGTGGTAGAGCAAAAGCGGAAGACACTATGTCGATAGAAGTCAAACACGGCCTCTGTCCTCACTTGCCGGCAAACGATCATCAGGCCATTCAGGCTATCGTACGCACACTGCTGAGTAAACACGAGCTCATAGATCCGACGACGGATCTCCAGCGGAAGCTGCAGCATTGAAGAGGAAGAAGACCTGGTTGTTATTTACGTTCGGCTTCGCGTGTGCTATGTCGGCTCTTTTACATCATAACGTAGACCTTTTCGCTCACCAATCGATATCCCAAAAGAGTTATTACTATTACGGGCGTGAAAAAATCTCAATGTGGACTATCACGAGACACATTTGCTAGTTTGGTGTTCTACAGTACAGCACTGTACCTGTCGATAAATTTTCATTTTTAAACGTTTTTGCTCCTGAGTTAAGTTAATTACTTTCAGCCAAACCTCTACTTTGATGAGTCGATTTTATCTGTCCCTTTACCTATAAGTCGATCCGCCCATTTGGGAGTCTATGCTAAGGATTCTACCCTATGTTGATCTCTGAGCCTGCGATCGACCTACTCTCTCATTATCCAACCTTCACCTTGATAGCGTTAGGTCTACAGAGTTTACACTAACAAGCTGAAGTGTGCCTCAATCTCAAATACCGAATTTGTGAAGGGTGGTAGCTGGGAAGAGGCTCGGTTCCGCCGAACCTCCGCTAAATCGCTCAGACAAACTGCAGGTAGGTAGCATGTAAGAAGGGAAAAGAGAGTGAAACCCCTCCCCCTTACCCGCAGGGTGTACAATATGAGGAGGAAGGGACATCAGGTTCGTCTCTTTCTTTCTTCTACCTCTCCCGGCTTACCCTCCTTAAATTTCCTAAGACTTACAGAAAGAGAATAACAAGGGAAACTACTTTCACATTGGCTCACCATAAAACTCGTCGAAATGTCGGCCAGGTGTCATCGGTCCGCCTGCTACGGGCTTTATCTGACGGTCTTCCGGCTAGATCGCACCCGAGACCTAGCTAAGATCCGACACTAATGCGGGTGGCGCTCCAGCCACCTAGGTATGGTGTGGTGACGAGGAGTCACATTTTCAACAATTTCAATGGTGCCACGACTGCCAGTCGCTTCGTCTTCCCCTAAATGGGGCGATATGGTCGGTGGGGCCAGGTCGATCCTCTGACCTGGTATGGACCTTGGTCAATCCAGTTTTTTCAGTCACTCACAGGACTCAAAGGACCTCGGTCACAGGCAATTACGGATCGGCTCTTGCCGTCTTCCTTGACTGGCTAAATATCCTTTCACACTCCTACAGGCATTGCAAGCATTGGTAGAGTGTCATGCCTGCTAACCCTTCTATCTTGGTCTCAGCTCGAAGAGGTAAGGCTGCCTACCTCATCTTTGAAATGCCATCTCCCGTTACCCGAGAGCGCTGCCTTATGTCGTATCTTCACGTTTTCGAGCCGCAGCGCCCATTCGCGATTTTCAATTTCTTTCCAGGTTTGCGGCATCTCATTATCCCAAAACCCAGGCGGAGTAGGAGGCATGTCCTCGCACAAGGGATTACGGACGAAATCTGACAGTCTCAGGTCATCAAGACTACGTTGGCGCAGGCGCCCGCCAGACACAGGTAAAGGCGGGCTGGGGTCGAATGGCTGTGCGCTCGAAGACATGCACAAGTGAGAATCATCCTTTCCCTGTCGACGCTTTGCTCTCCTAGATGGCGCCCAATAGGATACCGTCAGAAAGAATAGTGAAGGGAGATATGCGGCCTGGTCGTTTTCTCACCTGCGTTGCATTCTCTCTTTGCGCCCCTTATGCCGTGCTCGTGGGGGTAGAGAGTTACTGAGGCGTGCAGTCCCAGAATCCTCTCCGCGTGGAGGACAGCCATTGCCGCCGGGTCGCACCGCACCAGGCAGCGTGAGTGAGCTGTGGCGAGAGGCGCTTTCGGGTCGAGTCGTAAGACAACGGAAGTCGGGGATAGAGATCGTGTTCTTCGGGGTCGTGCAGTTCTCTTCGACCTTGGCCATGATTTCTCTGAAGGCTTCTAGCCGGAAGGGCAAGCGGAGCGCTCAGATTCTCGATACTTCACCACACTTACACCTCTCTGTATGGCGCTTTGGAGAAGAAGACGGGTTCATAGGCAGACCAGAAAGGAAAGGTTGTTCGAGTCGTCGTAATACAAAGACGGTCCTCACCTTTTATAGTTCAGAAAGGCCCCGTTCGTCCAACTCATTTACCGACCAAGGGCCGCTTGTCAGTATCTCCCTTCGTTCGAAAACCCACTAGAGCCGCATGTCGAATCCGTTATAGGCCTAGCTGGATATTATGACGTGTCCACGAGATTTTTGACGGTCATTCTGTCCAGGGCATCCGTCTCCGCGGGTTCAAAAAAAAGATATAAGGTCCCACTTGCCAGTTTGTTGCGGCAACATTCCTCCGCCAGGCACCCTCTATGCTAGCATGATTGTCATAGGGCTCACACCTGCCACGGGGCTCCGAGAGGCTTGCTAGAAAGACGAATCCCCAACTCCTAGTTTCTGGATTACGTGACAATGTCCCGACGTATTCGACCAGGGGGAAAAAGTTAGTATGTCGGTATTACAGTACAAGCCTTCGGGAATGCCTACAACTAGGGGGCGCCTACCACGGCGAAGTCGCTTGTTTTTGCCCATTCATGCGGAGTACGGAGTAGAAACTCGGTGCGACAAATTTGGCTGGAATTTGTTTTCGCTAACCACAATCGCAATCTGACCTCGCTGCCAACCTCAGTTCCTTGCGTATCCTGTCAATAACGAGCCCGCGAGCGACAACTGCCAACGGCGCTTCCTGGCACCGGCAGCGGCAGAGACAAACGAGCCCGCAAACGGACTCCCAAGCTAGCCGAGGCCAGGCAACAAGGCTTCCTACCTAATTCGCAAAATAGCTGAGACATCAACACCAAAGTTGGCTATACAAAGAGGCGGCGGCGGGGTCTGGAACAGTAACAGGAAATAAATTCATGACACGGAAAAATAGACGCTAGCTAAATTAGGTGTGGACAACTTCTGCCAAGCACTAAGCGAATTCGCCGTGGTACAGTACGAAGAAAGCACTACGAATCTTTCCTAAGTAGGTCTAGCAGGCTTGGCACGTGGGGTGTTCCGGCTCTTTGCACAGCACTGATGGATGGGCCTACGAGGTCTGGCGTGATAATTCTTTGCGGCTTGGAAATTAGAGCACCTAAGCTTTGATTTATTCGGAGCGGTCACGAAACAAAGGTCTATTTCCTACTTCCGTGGTCGTGCTTTTCTCGAAAGAGAAGAAGGACGATATTGTTTTATTATGCTACGGGCCATTTACCACAACCATGCGGAGCGGCGTCTCATTGTTAACACCTTAAAATAGCTACCTAAGTGCGCTGAGTCCAACATTGCATACGGTGACTGATCTAGGCTCGGTGCTTCACCCCAGATCAAGCCGCCTTTTCACCCGGTGCGCGACAGCCGCCAAGAAAGGCATTTTTACACTCTCTCTTTCTGGTCTTCTCGCATGTCGTCTTTCCGCCGTCTGTGCACTTAGGGATCTGTTCGCTAGCTGATGTGGGCTGGATGCTCGACCTCGCTCATCTTCTTCGGCACTGTGACCATTCGAAGATGGCGGTGGGCCGACCAAATCTATCTCCTCCGGCACGAGAGGTTCAAGAGTTTCCGCTCGCGACTCGAACACGCGCAGACCGAGTGGATTCTTTGCGCGATACTTAGCCACCTCCTGGCTTCCTTGTGAAGGAAAGCCTAGAAACGAGACGACTGATCCCCACATACTTTGGTCCTCTTCTTCGCTGACCACGGGTCGGACGCTTAAATGGCCCCTATCGTCGCTGTTTTTGTACTTATCCTCGAGGTAGATAATGGAGACGTCCCTATATGTGTCTCCGGCATCACGCAACACTAATCGACGGAGATCTCGGTGTGATCGGTACTGCTCCAGCGCCTCCATGTCCTCTCGCGGGGGATAAGTGAGAAAGTAGTGATTGTAGTGGGGTAAGCTATCCCAGAGCTCTCTCGCCAATTCATCCTGACCCGATTCGTAGTAACAGATGATCTCATAGCATGTCAGAACCAAAAAGATTGGGGAGAGGTGGGCGTGGTTATCCCGCAATCGGTCCTTAATCGTCTGACAGACGAAATGGACTTGTCCTAAGAAACCGAGCTTTAATAGGCAGACGATGTAATTTCGCAAAGTACGAAAGGTCCACAGATCTTGCGGATAGAAACTCTCCCCTCGCCTCTGGATGTACTTTACGAACGACACCGTCGCCACACTCTTGTAGTCGTCCAGCGTCCGGCATATAAAAGGTTGGTCCGGATTTTGACCTGAAGCCTCGACGGTGTGGCATAGCGTGAGCGATCGACTGGATAGATAGTGTTTGACTATCTCGAAGTCCTGTTTAGGGGGGTCGACCAGTAGATGGAGTGGATGGTGAACAATGTGTTCCCAAAGTCGCTCTGCCTCTTCTTTTTCTCCCAAGTGCAGCGAACAAATGAGTTCGTAGCATTCCCAACTGAAATACAAAGGGGATCTTCCGTTCGAGTGACCGATCAGTTTTATTTTTTCCGTTCTACAGATATGTTGCCCGCAGACAGGCCAACCACATTGGAGGAAATTGATAACAATTTCGCGAAGCTTGTAGAACCTTTCCAGAGGCCACGTCCTTTGGTTCTGGTCAGGGGAGGTGGCTGTTGTCTGGGGCGGTGAGGTTGATATCCCCGTAGACTGAATGAATGCCTCGGTATCTAAATATGGCGATAGCCAGAAAGCCATTATATGCATGTATAATCTGGTAAAGGGGAAAAAAAAAAAAAA